TGTATGAAATGTTAAAAAATCTACCAATTGAAACACAAAAAAACCTTACTTTGCTTGTACAATGCTATCTGGTTCTCTGGCGCTATCCCTACTTCCTGGAAAGAGGCTATTGTTATTCCCATTTTGAAAGAGGGAAAGGACCCTTTTTCAGTTTCGAGTTATGCCCCGCCGCGATGGTCTAGTGGCTAAGTTACTCGGCTGCTGACCCGCAGGTAGCGGGATCGAATCCCGGCTGCGGCGGCTGCATTTCCGATGGAGGCGGAAATGTTGTACGCCCGTGTGCTCAGATTTTGGTGCACGTTAAAGAACCCGAGGTGGTCGAAATTTCCAGAGCCTTCCACTACGGCGTCTCTCATAATCATATAGTGGTTTTGGGAGGTTAAACCCCACATATCAAATAGGCCTATTGCACTTACAAGCTGCTTGTGCAAACTTTTTGAAAAAATAATGAACTGCCGACTTTGCACATTTCCTTGAAACAAACAATTTGCTCGACCTATTTCAGTGCGGGTTTCGAGAGGGTAGATCCACCACCGACCACCTTGTTCGTATAGCTGCACAGATCAGAGACTTTCGTCCACAAACAATATTTTCTCTCTGTGTTTCTCGATATCAAAAAGGCTTACGATTCAATATGGTGCTTTGGAATATTAGGAGACCTGTCCCATCTTGGCGTGCGTGGCAGAATGTTTACTATAATCGAAAGTTACTTGTCAAATCGGACATTCCTCGTTCGAGTGGGCAGCGTTCTTTCTCAAACATTTGTCCAAGAAAGAGGCGTGCTGCAGGGTGGTGTACTTAGCTGCACACTTTTTGTTATCAAAATGAATTCTTTGTGCTTGTCCATACTTCACAATATGTTTTATTGTACATATGTTGATGACGTCCAGCTCAACGTTACTAGATTACCTCAGTTTGCAAACTCCGCCGGGATGCGGCGGCGAAACGCGGCCCCCTTCGTTTCCCGCTCTCTAGGTGGTGCTTCCGAGGCCATTTGACCGGTCGCCGCATCGTAACGGAGCCTTCGCGCAATGTTAAACGGAATTTGCGCGGTTAATTTTGTGTAATGGGAGTTATTTCCCGAGAGGGTGAGTGAAGGTTATTACGAGTGTGCAAGTAAATCACCAGTTGAGCCGCTAAGGCGATGCCACACGGCAGAGACGTGAGCGCGATGCCCGAATCTTGCGGGACTTCTGTTCATACAGCTCTTTTGCATTCCTGTTCTTTAAAATTCGATTGCCTATGTAAAAAAAAACCATTGACAGTGGGCCACAGCATTAAGTCTAAATGCTAGAGGGCTATGCACTTCGATTCAGGTGCACGTTAGAGAAACCCCAGGTGGTTAAAATTTCCAAAGCCCTTCACTACGACGTGCCTCATAATCATATCGTAGTTTTGGCCCGTAGAACCTTCGATATTATTGTACGATGAGCCACGCACTACAACCATCTAATGACGCCGGATATGTTAAAGTGTAAAGCCCAGAAAAATGCGCCGCACAGCATCTTCATTAAGAGCCCACTTACCACGCGGAATGAGAACTACGTCACCATGAACGTGGTGCACGTAGTCCTTCGCAATATCTTCCTCTCGGAAGTGAAGGTCACAAACAGCGCAAGAGCTTGTCAGTTCCTTATCCGATCTCGGTATAGCCCGTCGCCACAGTTGAAGGCGCACCTCGTCAGCGGGAGGCTTGAAAAAATGTCTCTTTTCGGCCGTGGATTTCGTCGAATCGTACCCACTTTGGCAACCAGTCACAAAGCAGCGAGGCATGTTTTCTCACATTCAAGAACCGTCACATGACACATGTGAGCTGTGTAGCTCACAGGGAAAGCGATGACTGAGTTGAAGACATTAAAAAACACCCGGCACCATGCAGATCATGCCAACGCTGACAGCGTCGGTGCCACGCCGGGCACCACGTTGATCGCTACCGTAGTAAGTTGCAGCCAGAGCACACACTACGCGAGTTACGTCCAAATAAATCTTGCTGGGACTGAGTGACAGCGATGACTACGAAGCACACTTGAAAGCAACAAAGCAGCACCCGGCATAAGAACACAACTGCAGTAACTCCGCTGGCGTGGGTCCGGGCACTGCCGAGAGGGGGCGCGCTTGCGGCTTTTTGACCGGTACAGGGAAGGGTGACACTCACGGCGCCGCAGTTTGCAAACTGAAAAAAGTATCTAGTAACGTTGGTCCAGCTTGGTTTTAAGTCTTGTAATCTGGCCATGTGTGAGCGGCAGGTTCAGCTTGGTTTGAACAAAGTTTCCAATTGGGCAGAAGAAAACGGGTTCCAACTGAATGCACAGAAAAGCATGTGTGTCTTGTTCCCCAGGAAGAGAGGCATTCATTCCGAACCCGATATTCAACTGCATGGGCAACGTCTTTCTGTTAATACCGAACACAAATTCTTAGGCCTAATCTTGGACACCAAGCTAACCTTCATACCACACATCAAATATTTAAAAAGAAGTGAATAAAAGCTATGAACATTCTAAAAGTGTTGTCACGCACTACGTGGAGAAGTGACAAGAAGTTTTTAATGAATTTGTATAAAAGCCTCTTACCTACCTGCCTATACTATGGGGCAATACCATATCAGTCTGCGACACCTACTGCCCTTAAAATGCTTGACCCTGTTCATCATCTGGGCATCCATCTCTCTACGGGTGCTTTTCGCACTTGCCCCGTGGAAAGCCTGTATGTGGAATCGAACAGTCGCTTCACCTACAGAGATGTTTCATGTCTTTTAAATATTATCTTAATGTAAATGCAGACAAGGATCACCCATCATATTTCATAATTAATGACATGTCAAGGCTTGCTGTGTTTGAAAAACGGCCTTATATGAGACAGCCCTACTCACTTCGTGTGAGGGGCCTAGCGAAGGAAACTGGTGTGCCACTTGAACACCGTTTGATGGCTCCCGCAGTATGCCTGCCACCGTGGCAGTGGTAGGCAATAGATTGCGACATGTCTTTCTAAGTGGTTACGAAGCACGTGCCAATTGCACATATTCAGACATACTTCTTAGAACTACAACATAAATACACATGTCCTGAGTTCTTTATGGATGCTTCAAAGTCCAACACTGTCTCGTATGCAGCCGTTGGCCCATCCTTTTCGAAAGCCGGCGTTCTGCACTCTGATTCAAGCATTTTTACCGGCGAAGCTTATGCGATACTTGCGGCTGTTAAACCCATTAAACAAATAAAACTACAGAAGGCAATAATATATACAGGTTCCCTAAGCATAGTAAAAGCTCTGAAAACTCTTAAAAAGCACAAAAACCCTGTCCTTGTCTCGCTTTATTCACTCTTATGCACAGTCTACTCATCTGAGCAGCATGTTGTAGTCTGCTGAGTTTCAGGACACCGCGAAATTCAAGGCAATGTTCTGGTGGACCAGCTAAAGCACTTGCCTTACAGCCCTTGGACGCAAGGGTGTGAACGATTGAGGCACTTGTGCTAATGCCAAACATGTCCACCATTGTTTTTATTATCACAATCTTTTGTCATCTATTAACACCACACACTTTTCACGGCATGGTCATGATTTTATTACTTCTATGTTTTTACCCGCCCTAGCGCGAGGAATTTTATGACCCTTATACAGCCGCTTATCACAATCATTGTCCATATCTCTAGTATAATGAACTGGCGCTCTTTGGCCGTGGAATGGCCCTTAACCACGAAACATCAAACATCATCAACTGGATACTTTCAACCGATTGACATTCCAACTGAACCTTTTTTTGATTTGGTCTCGACCTGCTTGGCCCTTTTTCACTCTCCACTGCCGGAAATAAATGAATTGCTGTCGCGACAAACTACGCGATCTCGTACGCCATCACACGAGCACTCCCGATGAGTCGCGCTACCGATGTTGCGCGGACTTTCTGTTGTACAACATAAATTTAGTGCACGGAGCTCTCCACCAACGCCTCACCGACAGTGGCTACATATTCCTCTCAGCTGTCATTGACGAAATCATGGGGTCTTGCCATACCAAGCACATATTTAACACTTCCTACTATCCCCAATTGAATGGCCTCACGGACGGCCTCAACAGGGTCATAGCCAATATGCTCTCCAAACACCTTGTGGCTGACCACCGGGATTGGAACATTCATTTGCTCTATGTGACGTTCGCCTACAATACCTCCCGTCACAACACTGCCAGCTATTCGCCTTTCTATCTCCTACGTGGCTGTTACCCAACGCTACCCTTAGACACTTTGCTACCTTGCAGCCACTGAATATGCCGGGGAAACGATTGCCCGCACCGGCCACGAGCGCCAAGTCATCCGTAACCGTCTACAAGGCTCACAGGAGCACCAATGACAGCTCTACGATTGTCATCATAAGGACATGCACTTTTCCCTGGGTTCTCTCGTGCTCCTCCAGTCACCCACTCTGTGTGTGGTACTGTCTGAGAAACTACCGTCACGCTACATTGGAGCATACCGTATCATTTTCCAGGTGACTGATGTCACGTACAAGATCGTCCCAACCGATCCAACAACGTTATCGTCAGACCTAAGCAACACCGTTCACGTGGCTCGGCTAAAGCCCTATTACCCCCTTTGACTTTATCTGCATAGATTAAGCACTGAGATGGTGCCTTTACCGCCGGGGGTTTTGATCTTGCTTGCCGAGCTCTGTGTACCGTAATTAGGTTATTAAAGAATTTACTCATAACAATATGAGCCTGTGTTAGCTCGCAACAAAATGCGCTCCATTGCCATTTTGTGATGACTATGACACTGCATCTGCCTCTAATATTCAGCTCTTGCCAATGCCACAAATGTGGTTTTGGTTTCATACACAATTTCAAGATGCAGTAATTTTGTTGGGAAAAAAGTACCACCGTCAGATTTGTGCAAATAAGGTACGACTGTCATGAGATGAAAATAGAACTTTTTGAAATGTTAATCAAACTTTTGTGATTCTGACTGTTAAAAACTTCGTTTTTACATTCATTTTTATGTCTTTTAGATTCTCTTGCCACAAATGCTGACCAGTTTTGGTCGACGGCAAAGAAGATGCAGAGTCGGATGTGGTGGCGTAACATGAGGGTGAGCAGCTGCGCATATTTCAATCAGAATTGCTTTCCAACTCTAGTGCTTACAACAACTTGTTTTGCACAACACTGCTTTCTGTCATAAAAGGCTAAGTGTGCAAACATGGTCGCTAGGGAAAAGCACAAAACGCAACCAAGAGTGTGCTCTGCGGCAGTAAAGTGCTTGACACAAATATTCTTAAATGATGAATTTTTTTTTGAAAATCCTTACTTAGAACTAACTCGGCTTTTTGTGGTTCTAAACAGCTTTTTATGGCAGTCAGTATACTTAGAAGAACAGAGCACTCACAGGTGTAAATACTAAAACTTGAGGGTGTTTGAGCTTAAAGTCCAATCATCACCGAGGGAGAGAGAGATCTGAGATGCAGAAAAGCAGGGATGTTAAACTGGAAAGCAAGTATCTGGTTTGCTATCCTGCACTGAGAAAGGGGTGTGAGTGTACCCCTTCCCCAGCGTTCAATTGTTACTTTTAGAGCTGTTGAAGAGATGTTTTTAGAGCGCCCAGTCGTAGTTTTGGTTTCAAAGAGCACCGAGCTAGGCAGGAGCAGTTCTGGTGTGAAGGTGAACACAGTTGGCCACATGACCACGCAAAAATGTGATGTGGGTGTCGTGTGCATGCGACCGGGCACTAGACTGACAACCAGCACAGTCAGCGCACTCTCAAAGCCACTGGCATGAAGGAATAAATTGCAAGTAGTGCAATGTGCAGGCATGTCTCAGCAACCAGCCAACAGAAACTCGTGATGTAGGTTTGTCTATATTGCCACTGCATTGACGTCGGCGTTGCGAGGGGCTCCCCATCTTGGTCAGTCACACGGCATGCACTTCAAAAGTTTATTTTAAATATGTTCTAGGCTATATTTGCCCTTCACATTTTGTAAATGTTGGGAATGTATCAATATAAATCGATCTCACTAATTATCTCACGTTCAAAATATTGTGACAGTGCTCCTTATATATCGGGTTTATCGCTTGAATATATTTTTTCGTTCACCTCAATTCAGGCAAGCACAAGGCCAGAGACAAATTTGTTGAAAGTAGCAAAGCTTTGTCAAGCTTTTTTTCTTCTTTATACATCATCGTCATGCAACTGAGGCCGAGTGGCTCTTCACCGCATAGCTTATGAAGCATAACATTCTCTTTGCTGCAGTCAAACATACCGGCACTCTGTTCTGCTCAGAACTGTGCATGTGCCTGAACTAAAGCTACAGCATTTCTGAAGGCAACAACCAACCAAGTCACAAAGAACACAACATGTCTTGGCTTCTAGATTTCTGGACTCTTTCTTTCATTGTTTTTGTCATACATATAATAGTGATGGACTATAGTTAGGCCCAGTCATGTTCATTTGTGGCAATATCTTGTGACAGAATTGTCTGCACAATCTTGTTTGAGATGCCAGTTTTGTAACATGACTATTCTTTCGGAATATTTGTACACTACCCTCACGTTAGATTTGGGGAAGAATAACATACCACATCATAATGGAATCAGCATGGTGTGTGATAACACTGCAGTGATAACATCACTACTACCTGTGCAATGTGTGCTCATAAGGTTTTTTTTAGATTTACACAATCGTCAATGATGAGTGGAAAATGTGGTTCATTCAATTAAAAGTGTTAGCATTTTTTATGATATAATACTAACATTCTGCTGTGATCCTATTGCAATAGAATCTCAATGATATAACAAAGTTTATCCAGATTTCACAATAAAATTTTACAAACATTCTGGATGGACTAAAACGTATAGAGTGTGTTACGATTTGGGCTTATAGAAACAGTTTCTGAATCAGTCGGTAATGAATACGTGAGTGGGCAAACATAGCTTGTCTTGGAAAAAGGAGTAGAAGTAGTAGTAGTAGGTAGGGGTGGCAGAGTGGTTTGAGGTTTGGAAAATTGCCTATTTCTACAACCAGTCAGGGAGCAGTGGCAGGCACTCTTTCATGAACAGAAGGAGGAAGGGGAGTGAAAGACGGCAGTAAAATGGAGAAGCCACCTTCTCGAGATATGTGTGTTCATAACATCGAGTTCCAGACTGAGATACCTCACTCTCCATGAGAAAAAAATATACTTAGTTGAGCTTGGAATCCAACCCTGTGCATTCCATATTGGAGGTGGACACTCTGACCATTATATATTACTGATGTAGTATTGATTGATATGTGGGGTTTAACGTCCCAAAACCACCATATGATTATGAGAGACACACTGATGTAGTATCAGAAGGAGAGCATACTCTCTGCACTGCTGACCCTCCTCTCTGCCCTTACCTCCCTTCAGCTTTAGTTTTCTTTCTGCCAGCTGAGCAGTAGCATCAGCGGGCATTGCATATGCCAAAACTAATGTTTTCGAGAATTTGATACTTTTGTGATTTCTGCTGCTTAGTCCTTGCATGCTCTGCCTGTTTGTACCCATTTTACATCTACAGGTTTCCTTGGTTTGGATCATATGAATTCGTGAACATATAAATATTTTGCTTTCTCCTGAAAAATTCGTATCATTGAGGTTCTACTGTATGACAGTTTTACAGATTTGCCAGCCATGCTTGTTTAATTATCACTCATGCATTTTATAGTTTTAAATCGCAACTGGTTTTATCATGTTCTGGTGTTTTTTCAAGGGGGTGAGCCTTTGCAGAGTAGAACTGACAATTGGGCTAGTTGTTAAGTAGTCATATCTTCTAAATGGTGCCAGAAAAGTAGATGAAACATGTGATAAAGCATCAACACAAGTGCTGTGTTCATGTTCTGTCCTACAATTTCATCTAAATCTGTGGTACTATTAAGAAGAAATCCACCCAGATTGAGAGCTTTGATGAAAGGAGCGAATTTAACATTTTGCATGTTTACAGGTGAAGGTACTACTGGTTCTAGTTGTCCTGGTGATTTTGCTAATCATATTTGGTGAGTTGTAGATTCTATCAAATAAAACTCCTAAGTTTACGTTCTTTGGTAGGCATGGAGTTTAAGAGAGATGCAAATTTTGAATGGTCCTGGGTATTATATAAATTTGTACATGAATCAGCCTAATTTTTAATATTAACAAAAGGAAATGGTGTCTTGATGTGAATTAGCACAGCCAATCACCATGTGGAACAATCCGTTTGAGCATGGCGTGCATGGCGGCATAGCAACACATCTTTTGCTGGTATATTTAAACAAGCCTACGAAAATTATCTTTTGCATGTATTGATGTCAAGCTTGCTTGCATATCTCTCTGTGTGTGTATTGTGTGCATGCCTGTTTTTCTGTATATATCGTTGCATCTTTTTTAGTGTTTGGTATTCTATGTATGCCTTAGTGAAAAGGTATAGCCATGATCTCTCCAGGCTGATGGCCATGTGCACTGCAGTGTTAAAATCGGTGTGGTGGTGTACTTTATTTCGTGGTTAGAAACTTTTGAAGTGAGCGTCTATAATGTTTTTAACAACAGATTTACCTCTGAGTAAGCTTTGCGAACTCACAAAAAAATATCTTCATTAGCATCTTTAAAGAGTTACCGTATTTACTCGATTCTACCGCACCCTCGATTGTAACCCACACTCGATTTTCACGACGAAAAAAAAAATTAAGACATCGATTGCAACGCGCACCCGTTTTTCTCGTTGGCCCGCACGATCACACTACTCGGGAAAACGACTCCTTTTGGGAGCGTCTTCCGTTTAAATATGAGGTACGGGGGAAGCTTGTGCCTATCTGACGTGCAACGGAGCTTTGCCGTCACTCTTGTTTTACCGTGGCCCGATGTCAGCATGCGAGCTTGCTTTGCCCCCTTCTTCTCGACGGTTGTGGTGCCAGGCATGTCGAAGTAAAGAGGCGTCTGATCGGCATTCCCGATTTGCCCAAGCAGGTAGCCGTTGTTGTGCCGCAAGTTTAGGACGAACCTCTGAAAACTGTGAAGCTTTTCTTCGTACTCCTGCGGCAAGTTTTGGCGCATGCCCGTTCGCTTTTGGAGGGAAAAGCCTTTCCTCTTCATAAAGTTAGTTAGCCAGCACCTGCTCGCTTTGAGCTGGCTCCGCGTTAGCCCTTTTTCTAAAGCTAACTGCATAGCCCGCACTTAGAGCAGTTCTGTCGTCACGGGCCGCTGTGCCGCTCGCTGTTCAAGCACATACTCGGTGAGCAGTTCTTCAATTTGCGGAAACTGACCCTGCTGTGGTCCACTGAAGCCTTTGCATGAATCTTTGATAATATTCTGCTTTTGTTTCCGCCAGTCCCACACGCATGTTTCGGGAACTCCGAACGACCGTGATACGGCCCGATTTCCATCTGTTTCGGCACATGCGATGACTTTTCTTTTAAAAGTGGCATTGTGGTGCACTCGTCGAGTTTATGGAGTCGGCCCTTCCATGCCGTCGATGCTAATGAAATACAAGATGACGAACTCTTCAGCACACGTACGAAGTGCCGCACATGGGAAATACATAGGCAGAAATGGCCGACGCGCCATGCCGAAGCACGTAGGGGGCGGCCATTTTGGAAATGCCGATGGCAATAGAATGACCGTATTCATTTTTTTTTGCACTCGATTTTAACGCGCATGCGATTTATGAACTCGCTTAACCGGAAAAAAAGTGTGCGTTAGATTCGAGTAATTACGGTAAATAGGGCCTATATAATTTCAATTTTGGTGCGGTATTTTAGTAGTACGAGGAAAAAAATGAGACGTTATAGAGAATAAAAAAGGGAGTTCTACGAATGCTAAGTATTATTGTAGGAAGTTCAGAGATTTATTTCATGGATTTTTTTTAAGCCCTTGTGATAACGTCTGAATCGGAAAATGTCTGAACAGAAACTAAATCTGAAAGAAGTTAAGAAACGATATGCTATTCAAAGTTATTAATGAATGGTTCGAGACTTCACGTTGACAGAGTGAGTGCTCTGAGCTCTTGTGAGTGTCTGGTGCCTGCATGCTTCACCTATTTGATGCGACTGTTGGGGCATTACTGCATCTTGCAGTGAAAATGAAAAGTATGACTATTTTTGCCTGCAACAGATGCTGTATGCTAGTGCTGTACTCTCAGTTGATTATTTTTGGGGCCTCAACCTTTTGCGTGCTACAACACCATGCAGAACACTTCGTTCACTGGGCATTTACCACAGTGCTGGTGAATGTTTCTATATAAAAATAATCTTATGGAAGGTGTGATGCTCTTTTCTGTTGAATCTACTTTATCTTGCTTTTCGGATATGTGTACGTTGGCAAAAAGCAGTATTCCCAAAATTGATTTGTTGAGAATACAGCCTCTTTGCAGTTTGGCTGGGGTTTTCATTGATGCTGCGTGAGCAGATTTGCGTACTTTTTTATGTGCCACTTGAACCTTTATTTGTTAAAAGCAGTTAAATTCTTGTTGTCCATCATCCATCATCCAGCACAGAATCAGATCTTTATTATTAAACTTCAGGTAATATTACAGATATTTAGTATATGGGAGGAGGCCCCATAGTTAGAGACTGCATGAGGACCTCCTGTTCAAAGACAGTCAAGTCCTGTACAAAGTTGTGTTAAGCAGCTGCCTCTAACACACAGTTAAACTGCATTTCGGACAGCAGAACTTCCCCATCAGCAAGGCAGTGTGGTAAGCGAGTTGGAAATGCATTGTGATGTAAGAGTGTGTGTACCTCGTCCCTAACCAGCCTATCAAGCTCAAAAATGCCTAAAGGGGACATTTGCACTGCTAGTTGCTTCTGAAATAGGGCTGTTTTTTTTTTTTCAACAAAATGTCTTGAAAACAAGTTACTTTTCATCGTTTTCTGTCAGTCTATGTTATGTACTGTTCAGCAGCCATTTATAGCTTGATTGCGCTGTTGTACCTTGGGCAGATGAAGTTTCTTCTGTAGGCTATACCCTTGCACCTCTAAGAAAAAATTTTATTTGTTTTAAAAAAATGAAGTAATTGATACCGCTACTGGGATATGATTGCTTTGTAATTGAGCATGCTTCATGGTTACAAATGAAGTTGATTTGACAGAAAATATAAGGCTGGTGCTATGTCTTTTTTCTGTGAGCAAGAAATCAGGATATTTCTCACAAGTCTGGATGCTTTGGCATGCAAGATAAAAGCTCTGCACATAACTCTGCTCACTTTGAGTGCACATATGTTATTTTACATGGTGCTGTCTTGAAGTGAACAGCCAGTAATTTGTCACCACCTTTACAGAGTGTGTAGCAACACATTACACTTATGCCTAACAACAGCATTAGTTAATAATGCGGTGTGAAGGCACTAAAGGTACTTGAACACCCATCTGCTTTTTACTTTTTGTGCTGGCTTGTTGTTTTTTAGTTGAGTACAAATTGAAGGTAGCTTTGCTTGTCTATATTCAGCCAAATAAACATGCTAGGTTTTTCTTTACCGGGACTCATTAGAAATGTGGAAGTAGGATGAAGCTGCCGATGTCTTAATCAAAGGATATTTAATGAAATGATACTTCGCCAAAGGACTCAATCAAAGGATATTCAATGAAATGATACTTTGCCAAAGGACTCAGTAGCCAAGGGCAAGTACTTATGTTCTGGCCAGTTTTTCCAATTGCTCAGTGTGAGAAAGGTGCTGAAACTTCTCTGTACAGTTCATTGCCCTGATCCTACTTTGGGTTGCATAATTTGGTAGGATTGCGATCATGTCTAGTGTTGAGTTTAAAGTGCATTGCATTCTTCTTTTTTTTTTTCAGTGCCGATAATAGTGCGGAACTCCTGAAGACATTTGTGCAGACAATGGTTGAACATTTTCACTATCAGCAATGTTGTAAATTTGTTGCTTGAATTCATAGCCTGTATGTACCAAGGTATCTTTGTACTTATACATCTATTACTTTATTTTTTTACTTGTAGAGTTTTGCAAATGTTGGTTTTCTATGACAGCCCACAGGTATATTTTTGGCAACTCAATGTTGGCATCTATCTTTCAGTGCATTTTGCAGAATTGCTGTTTGTTGAAGTATGCAGCAAACTATCTAGTCGTGTCTTGGCACTGTAGCTTTGAAATGGCGAAATTGTTTTCTGAATACTGATGTGTTAAGTTCAAATGTTTATTTATTGATTACTTCATTAAATACTGAGTGACATAGCTATTGACCAACAAAGCATTGCTCATGCGCTGTTCTTAGTGCACATTATCTGCTTTTTCCAAAATATTTTTTAAATACTTGCTTGTTCGATGATTTGTATTCAAATGGCCGAACACGGAAGAGTCTCATGACCAGTTCTCATGGAAAACTTATTTGAAAATATGCAGGTGTGCAACCGCTGTGCCAATTGCACCAATTTGATACAATTCTCTGTGGTTGCACTGAGCTGCGCCACAACCATGAAATTTGATGAAATTACGCTGCGCTGTGCCAAAATGCTTGACCAGCCTCAAAATTTTCTCAGTTGCAATGATGGCAGCGAGAAATGGAGTGCATTTGCCACCTTCACTTTGCTTCACTTATCAAACCAAGCGCGCAGATTGTATACCCCTAAACCACAGTGTAAGTTATATACTCGTTAAGTGAGAACAGTCACAAGACGTGATCGACCAGATAAAGTATAAGATGAAGAAACAACGCCACGCGCCCATCGATCCGCTGACCACAGTGGATACCTGTCGGCTGGACAACGGAACTTCAAGCCAAAGAAAAATGCATTGCCGTGGCCATCAATGCTTCTCGAGAAATATGAATTTTCCGAGTCATCAAACGTGCTTACCACATGTTAGGAACGTATGCCGCGCTTTTCACGTGCGAACAAGGTCGACGTGCTACTAACGCCATCGTTGCCAGCCACCACATTGGTTGCCATAGCAACAACACATCAACCATTTTTCTGGCTTGAAGTCGCGTCAACCCGGCTATAGATACCCTACGCCGTCGCTGGGCAAATGGCTGCGCACAGTTGTTACTTTATCTGGTTGAACGCACCTTGCAAGCGAGCTGAGAAGTTTCGCCCTAAACCTAACCACACCGTGAGAGGAAAAAAGAAGAGGGGGAGGGGCGGGTGTAGTGGTTTAAATTGCTTGGCCTTGTTCTAACGTGCACAGATCACTGCCTAAGCCACCTTCGCCGCAGTAAACAGGTGTCCCGTGGAAAAGTGTAATATAATTTGGGATGGGCTCTTAGCGTTAGTCACGGAACAGAGCACATTTTGTTCAATTACTCATGCGAGTATATGTTGCATAGTTCTGAGTACTGGTATGATCGCTGATGTCTAAAAAAGGTACTGGCACTTATTAAAACGCCGAATCATATTTCTGCTGCCCTAAAAGAAAAAAAAAACTTGTGCGCCAGTTTTTTTTCGCCACCCCTACTCTTTGGTTTTAAGAATCTCCTGAATTCGAAGGCCGCCAGCTAGGCAGAGCCACATTTGAATATGCAGAGTCTGTCAAAGAATTTGACAGGCGTGGCAAATGCTGATGTGTACTTCATTGTTGTCTCAGTGGGGTAATTCAGAATATTAGTTTTTATTGAAATTGTAGTGCTCATGTTCACTCTGCATGATTTTGGTGGGTTACATGGTTGGTACATATATTTTTATTCCAAGTGTAAGCCTTCTTTTTTACATTGCTCCAAATGCGGTCTTTCATGATAGAAAAGTTTTTCTTCAAAATATATTTTGGCTGTTGCACCCATGAATAGCAAAGAATTTTAATTACGGTACTATAAGAATGTGGTTTTAGCAACCACAGTTTTGCGATGCAAGTGCAGAATCTTGAAGCTTCATTGGAGAACCTGCCTTCTTTACTATAGTTATGCTTTCACAACTCACCATAGTAAACTGCATAGACCTAACATTACTTTGCATCAAGCATTTATTTCTGAGAACATGCCCATAAAACATGCCTGAAGCCTGTAGTATAAAATATAATAAAAATATCAGTGTCAGTGATATTTTTATCGAAAGGGTTGTGTTAATATGGTAATTGTGCCGTAGTAGGTCATTGGTGGGTCATGATGGAATAGTATACTGTGCCGTGGGCCATGCTAAACAACAATGCAAATGACAGTTCTTGTTGCCTTCTATTTGATTCACTGTGGTTGCAACCTTTTTTGGGGGCCTTTTGCACCGGAAGAGAATGATGGGCGAGCCATTGAAGGGTTGCATACGATTTGAAGCTTTAAAAGGTGTTGCTACAGTGAGTGTAGTAAATGGTGTTCAAGTAATTTTTCTGATGTACTGATCTGTGCACATGGGGTATTTTAGCACATTGTCCGTTGAGTAGAATGAAGTTCTAGGCCTGATTTACTTACTGTGTCAGTTGCAATGTTTTGGTGCATATGACTGGTAGCATCAGGTGAAGCAGTCCTACATGTAATGGTGATAGTGCTGTGGAAGTTCTAGTAGCCATGACATCATTATGAACATCATTTTAAACAGAAGGGAACTTGGGCACCTATAAAATTACTAATTTGCCATTTTCATGAAATCATAGGCACAAGCAGAAAAGCAGCAATTGTATTGTCTTTTTATAAGGTATTCTGTTTTATGTTCTAAAATGCTGCCAGGATTGAGCATTATAAGTTTACCTAAAGGCTGCAGTCTTTTCAACAATTTTTAAATTACCATACTTCTAGAATCTAGAAGAAATGAAAGACTGTTGACTGATAATTGTTATGGAAAATTTTACTTGCATGTTTGTTGAAATGTTTTTATGTACTATAATATGAAAAATGTACATGAACCTCAGTATATATTTTTTCAAAGTTTAGAGATGAGGTGACATTACGATGACACAGTGTAGGCACATTTGCCCGCACAAATAGGCATGTTTTTTTGAAAGCTTGTGAGGATGCTGCATAATGCTACTTTCCAGATTCTTTGATCCACATTGTTAGCTGAGAGCTTTAAGGGTTGCATTAATGTGCATGGTGTTCACACCACTTTTAGAAGATTTTCTTAAAGTTGACTCAATGGGAAAGCCATGTTCAAAAGAATTTCTGATGAAACACAAAGTATTTTGGGGGCTAGGAGAACGAAAAAATATAAAGTAGCTGTTACTTGAGGTTCTCACTCTAATAACTGTAAACTAAAACAAAATTTTTCTTCCAAACTGCCTTTTCTTTTTTTGTGGTTCCACTGGAGCAGGGACTGTGAAATGACCCTATTTGCAGACAAGAGAGAAACCTATGATCTGTTGATGGATAAATAAAGTGGCCAGGTTATTCTTAGTCTGTGTCAACAGTGATGCCAGGGCAAGCACACAACTGTTCCTTTACTGATTTGAGCATTGAACGATCATGCATGGATAAAAAAAATTCTCTAGGTGGACAGAGTGGGGGGGGGGGGGGTGAAGGGGCAAAGTGAGTGTATTTGTTATGCAAGTAAACGCAGGGAGCCTTTTAGTCAATTCGGCACCTCCTACTCACTGGCCTTTTGAAATAGGACTAAGGCATGCTAAAGAGAGGCCTATCATCTGTATTGAAAAAAAAAAAAGCTGCTGCTTTTCTGTGGCCTCAACTGTGCCAATGTAAGGGAAAAGGGTTGACGCTCAGCCCGGCAATGTGCTGGAAATTAGTAAAGTTTTCCTCTCTCGCAGACATGATGTTAGTAGTGAAGAAGACTAACTTCTGACAAAACAAAAGTGGCAGGTGTCAATTATATCTGTGACTTGTGTGTTCCAATCAGTGAACCTGCTGCTAAACTATGTTAGCAGCTACTGAATGTCAAGTCATCACAAACTACTGCATCCGATAATGACTATCAGGATGAAGCAGAAGTAATGGCTGACATATGTGACAGTCATAACAGTAATACAGTTTTTGTGAGCTGTACTTTCTAAGGTATTAATGGTATTACTTTTTATGCATAATCTCTACATAGGATAAATGTTTGGTATTATATACTATTTTGCGATACTTGTGATAAGAATGGAAACAAAGACAACTAGTCATGGTCATTAGCAAACATTGCATGTAATGCAGAGTGCACAGCCTAATATTAGTTGCGTGCTTGCATTTGGAAATATTTCAAAGCAAACAGTTTGATAGAAAAGCAGGCAAAATGTAGGGAGTTGCATGTGAAGTGTATTGATTAAGGTTTGTCTACACTTCTTTTTCTGTTAGATAGTTGCAACTCCACATATTTAAAAAAAGACTGTGTTTGTCTAATGTCAGGGATGCTTCCTTTAAAGCTGACAGGACTATAATTTTGTGTGAATGGCAGTTTATGAGGAAAAAGTGGGCTTGCCTTTTGAATGACAAAGAATACATTTTGTTACTCCCAAATATGCTTATCTTTCTTGCTGCCCACATGATATTGGCTTGCGGCTTGCTTGAAAAAAAAAGTTTGATAGCGGCAGTGGTGTAAGCATTGTCATTCAGGAATAGGGGATATTTCTAGATTTGGCTGGTCATAGGAGTTTGGTGGGTGAGGTAGTAGGTGGCTAGAGCTGTCAGGCAGACCTCTGTGCATGTTTCTCTATGTATTCCTATACAGGACACTTACCTATATTGGGTAGACTGCCATCTCTGGACCCAATTTTCTTCTTACATGGCCTATCTGAACATCAGTGTCTATTTGTAGTGTGCTTATTGTGTATTTGTCTTTTGTGTGCATGCATTATGGCAGCATTGCTAGTGGTCAACCACTACACTCATATGGGACTGTGAAATGTGGTGAGGCAAATTCTAATTTAAAAGGAGATGAGTATTGAGAGCAAGCATTCATAGCGATGTATTGCAGGATTTTGATGTTAAAGACACAAAGCTTTTATGTGTAAAAGCTTCTTTCTGTAGTCAAAGTAAGGCTAGAAGATTGGATGCGTATTTGGAATGCATTACTCATACTGGATTGCCAAGCTGTCTGTTTTGAGGTTGTGTAGCTTGGTGAAAAGCATCTGATGATGGTCTATTGTAGTCTGTGGTACAAAGTCCTGAATGTGGTCTAACATCAGAAAGAATATGCATTAGCACACGCTACTAAGCACACATTATTTTATCGGTAGGTGAAAAAAAGGATCGAGTTCTTAAGCTGCTGAATGACAATTTTGGGAACATGTACTATACTATGACACTTCTTGTATAGAGTGCCCTGTTGCTTCTGTGAAGTGCCCACCACGTTGCCAGTAGTGCTAATGATGCCAGCTGAACATTTATGTACTGTTATAAGGATTAAAGATGGTTAAAAATAGCTTCTGCAGTTACCTGCCATGTACCTTATTCAAATCCCAGTAGCAGTGCTTTACTAGCAAAGAGTGAGTGACATTTCTTCAGCATGGTACCTTCGCTTTGAAAGTGACAAGAAGGTGCTTTGAAGGTGACTTGAGAGTGACTTGAAAGCGAAGGTGCTTTGAAATTTACAAGAACGACAATGGCACAAAGAGAACAGGATATTGACATCTGTTCTGCGATATTTTCATTGTGCTTGAGTGGAAATCTGCCTCCTCGTGGACACACCCTCAACGGTGTCATCGTAACTCTGTGAAACTGCTTAAAGCAAAACTCTTGCGGTGATCGTCTAAATTAAATCGAGTGCCGGCATTTACTGGCTGCTCCAGTTTTTGCAGCGTAGGCATAGAGGAAAAAAAAACACGTGGCTGATCCCTCTTTCTAGGAATCAGTATAATGCAAAAGTGGAATGTCTTCGCAAAGATAGTTGAGCGTTTATTGGGCATTGTTTTGCCACAAGGGCGAATAAGTTAATGCTACAGCAACTAATTGCGGAGTCACGCGAAGCGCGCACCTAAGAGAGAAAGCACGTACGAAGTGAGTGTACACAGGATGAGCGCGGACTAACAACTGCTACAGATCGACACTAGCCCCGCCGCGGTGGTCTAGTGGCTAAGGTACACGGCTGCTGACCCGCAGGTCGCGGGTTTAAATCCTGGCTGTGGCGGCTGCATTTCCGATGGAGGTGGAAATGTTGTAGGCCCGTGTGCTCAGATTTGGGTGCATGTTAAAGAACCCCAAGTGGTCGAAATTTCTGGAGCCCTCCACTACGACGTCTCTCATAATCATATGGTGGTTTTGGGACGTTAAACCCCACAAATCAATCAACAGATCGACACTAAAAGCGTGCTGTTCAGAAAACTAGCACGCACGAAACGAACGCACAAGTATTCACAGTACAAGCGCGAACCGTTGCAATTGGTGTGTGAGCGGCGTACTCGTTTCGTAAACTTGGCCGCGGCAGCGAGAGAAGTGACCTTCGTGCTTTCCCTAATCACGAGTATATAACAAGCGACCATGCTCCTGGAGGCGGTGCTCATCGAAAGGCGAGAGGCGACGACCCTTAGGGCGCGCCCAACGCGAGCCCTTCGCGCCATTTCGCTACTGATAACAAAAACTTGCTGAAGTAGCGGAGCTGTGATGACCACCAAACGCTATATGGTGAATATAAATAGCTTGCCATGAACAATCTTGACAACATACTTAGCGCCACTTGCTGTTGTTCGAGAGGTCGCGGGGGCAATCTGTGACTACATATTTTACAACGTCATATCCGTGACGGAAATACGTCAGCGGAGCCTTGGTGAACCCGGGCATAAAACACTTCCGTAAAAAAATATGAGGGAGTGCACCTAGTGTCTGCAAGCAAGCCTCCTCTTTAGTTGCTACCTCTCGGTGCATCTGTTTCACTTTCTTTTTGTGCTGCGTATCAAGATTGCCTTGTGACACTCTTTTCTAGTTTTTTTTTTCGTGCATGAGCTTAGGCCTTCTGCGCTAGAGTTTCGCAAGTTGTGTAGCGTCACCTGTCAGCGCCAAGGGCATGGAACTGATAAGTGCGAAGTATACATATCTATAGACGGTTTTCCGCAGCGGCGCACGGGTGCTGCCACTTTTGAACGCGTGATCTAATGGTCTTTTCTTTTCCACTTCGTCGCCGATGGCTGGTCGATTCGCTATTCGCCGCCGTAGCTCCCGAGTTGAAGGTCAGAAAAGCGGGC